CCCCAAAACCCCAAAACCCCAAAACCCCAAAACCCCGTAAAGACAATTTGCAGTTTGGCAGTTAAAATATGAATTGAAAATTCTAAGTTAATATAATAAACTTGTAAAATGCCTAAACTCTTAAAGAATAAAAATTATCTATACTAGCTCGAACAAGACCCCACACTTATTGAATTTACAAAGACTTTTCATATCTCCCCCTAACATTCACTAACCTTAGGGACTAGTGATGACGATGAGGTGATTACACTAACAGACCATATGCAAGAACTTTAATACAGCGGGACATTTGATGTTCAGAATAAATCAGGGGGATCTCTAATAAAAGTTGTATTAAACGATTCCTCAAGTGAGGAAGATGAGGGAGTTGCTATTGATGAATTTCCTCATTTCAAGCATAAAAACTCACTTGAAAGATAATAGCAAAAAGCCAAAATGGGAGGTGTGCCAATAAGGTCATTGTTGTCAATAAGCTCTATTAAAAACTCGTATAAATGTCTTGAATCCCAAGAGTCCCAATTAATAAAATAAATAGGGGCTACTAAAAATCAAGTCAGATACAGTAAATATATGAATAACTAGCGGGGATTCAACTCATTCAGAGAATCTACATAAAAAAGAAAAAGAGATGCGTATAGCTGTGATTTAGATAACTTCTTAGATTTGTAGCTTGTTGAAATTACGAAGGCGAAAACTCTAAAAGCATAAGCAATGCTGAAAAATATTCAACTCAATGAATTGCTGAACAAAAATATGACAAATATAGAAAAATAAAAGAATCAAAATTTCCAGCTAATATCTCATTGCACTTAGTAAGATGATGATAAGTAATCACTTGAAATCTACAATGATACTCTACGGAACTAGATAAAAGAAATAAGAGTGTTTATAATGGAAAGGCAAAATGAAAATTTCTCAAGTTAGCAAGAAATGATTTCTGTTAAGCGAGAGTCGCTCTAAAATCTATAAATACTTAGCAAGCATAACTAAATAGATAGAGATCGTGAGGATGAAGTCTTAACTTGCCAAAGGAATGAGATTAAAAATCTTTAAGATGAGCTAAATCTAAGTCAAGATCAAATCGTAATGTACTCTAAGGAGATTTCGACATTTCAAAAGCGTGAATAAAAAAGAATAAAACTGTTAAGAAAAAAAGAAATTCTGCTGGATTCAGTAATAAAAGAAGAAGATAATGAGAGTGAGGGAATGTCTACATGCAAAAAGAGAAAAAGAATTTCAATGCAATTTAATGATTAGGATCCGTATCGTCTGTAATTGAAGAAAGAACCAAACACAGCTTAAAAGACTAGAAGGTATTACGATGATCAAGAAAATAGTAATTCAGCATCTAAATCATTTAACTCAATCAAATTCTGGTCGAAAAAAACAATAAATAAGACACCAATGGGTACTCATAGCGTGTCCAGGTCATTTGGGAGTAGTAGAGAACAATTCAGGTCTATTAACTTTAATTAATGAAAGATAGATATACATTTATATATCAGTCAAATCGAATCATACAATTATTTATAGTAAATTATTTGATTGATTGATACTAATTTAATGCTAAGATTAGGAGACAGGGGTTTTGGGGTTTTGGGGTTTTGGGGTTTTGGGG